AGAGCTTGTAACACTTCAAAGAGAAAGGAAAAATTGAAATAGCATCATATGACCCCTTTAAACTCGTTTAACAAGCATTTTAGAAGTGAAAATTAAACATTTAATCGTCGCAAAAAGACTGATGCGGCTTGTTTAGGTGACTTGGTTTGCTTTGCATAAAATAAAATGATTTACAGCAAAGAAACTGTTTTATAGATTAAATAAAACATACACAAACCTATATTTGACCAAAGAAATGCAAGTCGGCGGCACTGAGAACTACTCTCACCTGAAGAGAATGCAAAATATCTGCGCTCATTACAAACACTGGGTTGTTGCGACTCTCCTGTCCCAGGAGCTGGGTTACACAAAAACTACCCAAACACAAAAAAAATGTTGCAATAAAATAACCATGATTTTTAGAGTATATGTGCATACTATAAAAGCAACTGATGCAAGCTGGTAATCACTTAAGTGGATCCACTAAATGATTGCGCGAATTACTCCATTACCTCTCCATCCTCTGATCACTTGCTGGACATGTCACCCTGCTTTATTCCGGGACCTCGCAATTTACAAATTAAACACTGTTCTTAGCATTATAAATGATAAAGGCTAAATATCTAGGCTACAAAACCGTGTTGTTGTTTTTTTGGATGTATCCACCTGTGTCTCCCCCACGTTTTCTCTCACAGTATGCTATAATCTTACCTTTCAGAAGCGCGTGTCGGGCTTTAAGACTCATCAGACATCACCAGTAGCAAAAGTCATTCATGTCCAGATAGTTTTATTCATTTTGATGACATTTAGGGAAGTACATGAGGGTGGTTTGCATGTGATATTGACGCCGCTCAGGTGGGGCACAGTGCGTTAATTTAGAGTTAGAATAACTAAGGGGTGATAACTTGTTGATATGAGTGCAATAATTCCAAAGAATGCCCAAAAGATAAACTAAAATCTCTGTCCTTTTTGCCGCCCTGACTGTGCTGCCACCCTAGGCGGCTGCCTAGTTCGCCTATATGCACGCGCCGGCCCTGCCCGCCATTGCCCCCTGAGCGCCCTGATCCGCCCTGGAGGCCTCCCGTGTCTCCATCCTGTACCAGCCTCCAGGGTGCCCGGGTGGGACTCCTGCATTTTTCGTTCATTAAAAATTGTTTAAGTTTATCTGTGCCTCCTGCGTGCTCCCTGCAAGACACATCGTGACACAGCTACTAGCCTATAGCTTATTGTACAAACTTTTGATGGAAACATAAATACTACTTCTACAAAATCAGTAAAAATGTGTTAATATCATGTTTTTATTTTTAGAATTATGTTGTTTTATTTTGTCCCATCCATGATGTCTGTGATGAAGACAGCCGGTCGTGAAAAAAATAGCTCTTGTTTGTTTCGCTTTTATTTTATTATTTTCTACTGCGACTCTAGCAGTAAATATGCGGAAATGACGAGAATGTTATTGCAGTACCTATTGATTTAGACAGCAACACTTGCTAAACCGGTTAGAAGTTTACGTGACATTGCGGTAAAGGCATAGCACGCACAGATGCAGTTTCATTGTGGTTTAAGTGGCCGTCAAAACCAATATCGTAGGACCAAGGATGGAGACAGAAAAAAGAGAATCAGGTATTTAGACTTTAATTAGGAAACCAGACTTTGCCATTATTTCTTAACGTAAGCTATCATAAAATCCAGTATAGTGACATATATTTATTTAGCTATTTATTTGTTTATTTACTTTTAGATTACGCGTTTTCAAAGAATCTTGTACTTAGGTAAGTTTCACATATTTGTCTACATCATGCTTAAAACACGTTAAATAAAAACTTTTTATAATGTTTAAAAACAAATAATGTTTTATAGGCTACCAAAATAACCACTAATGTGACTTTACAACCTACCAGAATTGTCATATTTTCTGTTATTCGTTGTGCCATTTCATGTGCATTCATTTTAAGTAGCATTTAAGCAGATGAATAAAGTTTTAGATTAAGCCATTATTTTGGTTTTATTAGAAATGAAACGCTTTTATAATAATTTCCTCAGATCAGTGAAGGACCAGGTACAGAGGGCGGGAATATGTGCACCGCCTCTTCCTGAACCGCAGCCAATGAGTGATGAGCAGGAGAAGCTCCTGGAGCAGATGGCTGAACTCATCATAGGCGTCAGCGACTTTCTTGATCGAAATAGAAAATTCAATATGTTAGTATCGAAAGGTATTTTTGGTATGCGAGTGTATGTAACAATTTTGGAAATGCCTTTCCGCCCCTAAGCAAATACCCAGCGGGCACCTTGATGTTGAAAACACATTAAATTGACGTCAAACATTAGCGTCAAAAATGCAAATCAAACTGACGTCAAAAACTTAACGTTCATTTGACATCCACAAATGTTCTTTCGACCACCAAAATAATGACACAAAAGCAATGCAATGAAAGAAAAGTTTTATTCAACAAACTTGAAATCAGTGATATGTAAATGCAAAAAGAAATGCACCTATTCTGATTGTGAACAAAGAAAGCAGAACAACGAATGTTAGTCCATATCACGATCTGTGCAGCGCTACTTCCTGATAGTTTAATTCAAATTGGCCAAATTCCAAGACATTCAGCATTTTACAGTGAATTGTGGTTTTATGCCTGGACTCCGCGGCTCCTTCCGTGTTGTCCTCATGGCAGAAATCATATATGGACAGTAGGCCTATACATTTATTTGTGTTCCATATATGGAACACAAATAAATGCTTACATTATTGCCAAAAATCATAGAAATTGTGCACATTTTGTTAATAATTTTCTAAGTACAAACTCACTGAAGTGCCTCAGGGACATGAGTTTGGTTTAAGATAGATATAAGACCTTATTTTAAGCTAAAAATGATTAAAATTCAGTCATTATTTTTATTCATTATAATGGGCATACCAAAGTATTGTGAAAAGCTTCTAACAATTCATTTTGGTGAACCACCACTTTAAAAACTTAAATATGACCAAATCTCAAATCAATATACACAACCCCCTAAGCAAACATAGACTGTGAGGTAGTTTAAGAAATAAAGTTGTGAGATATGCGCCGCAATTATGAGAACTTATGTGGCAATTTCATAATATAAAGTCAAAATTGAACGTCGCAATTACGGTAAATAAAATTGAAATGTTTTATTTTATCATGTTTAATTTCAGCTTGATTGATGCATTTGTACATGTGATGGACAGACAGAGTTTCCAGAGGCTTGCAGAAAAAGTGTTTGTTGATGACATCACTTGGGCGAAAATTGTTACTCTGATCTGTGTTGTTGGGAAAACAGTTGCAAAGGTATGCATACTTTTTTTCTTTATTTGAGAAATAATAATAATAAAAAAATTATAAAGGTACTGAATACATTCATACATTTTTGTGTTTCAGTGACCAAAATTAATTATGGTTGCACTTTGATGCATGTGTGCTTGTTTTGCTTGGATAGATTCTTGCTAATTCAGTCCCAAGTATTGTATCTTGGACATTGGATTACTTCCAGAATAACCTACAGAACTGGATCTGCAGTATGGGAGGATGGGTAAGATTTGATAAACATGACAGCACTTGTATTAACACAGCAAAGCAATGAAAAGACATCAGTAATAGTCATATATCATGCACAGTGAGAAAGGGTGTAAAATAATATAATATATAGTATATGATCAGACAAGGGTTACAGACTGTGATTTTTTCACCTCTCAGTCCATGTGAGAAAGACAAAGAATGAGGGCACTTACATTTAAGCACATCCAGAATGGGACGTACAGTATAGCAATAACCAGCAAGATTTTAAATCTCCTAGATACTGTGCCAGGAGTACTGTTCACTGTCATTTTAGTGACATTGTTATTAACCTCTACCTCATTTTCACTAGTGCCATTGTTTTAACTCCATGCATTCTGTTGTCAGACCAACTTTTAATAAAACTAAATCTGATCTCATCCGGGCCTAAGCAAAATGGATTTGTTGTAGAAATATTATGTACAAAAGTTCTATTGTTATATTTAAAATTAAATTCTTAACTTTCTCAATAATGTAGATCATGAAAGCCCAACACAAAGGGCCTGCATAAAGTTAAATAAAGTCCTTCCCCCAAACAAAGGTAAGGTATGAGTACAGGAAAATCATTAACAAATAGATATTTAAGTAGCATGTAAAGTAATTACATTTATTCTAAAATGCATGCATTGAAAACAAATTTACTGACTACACAAAACCAGAAGTGTTAAAAAGTGTTCTAATTGTACTGTAAATGTGCTCTTGGATCCCAGAGTAACATGGAGAAATCACAACAAGCATTTGAAGAATCACACAGGACACATGTTGAAAATTTTGGCATGAGCTTTTAACATTTTTATTGACTTTTTGATAACTTTTTCTTTTTAAATTGGATTTCATTTTTCTAATTATTTTTATTTTTTTTCCTATCTGTAATGGAGAAGATTTGATCAGGTAGGTTAGCATTCATGTTCAAACTTCCATACTTTTAGTAATATAACATTTTTAAGTCTCAGTGTTCACAAACTCTGTTAAATTATTACAGTTTATTAATTTTTTTCTTTATACATTTCAAAAATATAAAAGGTAAATAATAAACATTCCATTGAAATATATTTTATACAGTTCTTGATATTTTTTTTCCATTTTTTTTGTATGACAATAAAATTGTATCCAGCATCAATCTTAGTAGCATAGAACTCATCCATTTCTTTTAGGAACCTTCTCTTTCTCACTGGCCTCTCTTTCTAACTCTCTCTGTCCCCGTTTCTTAACTTAGGGGGGTGTATGGTTAGGCTTGCGCTCAGCAGTAGACACAGCAGCTCCATTAGCTGTGATAGTGCAATGAATTCCTCCTTTAAACAAGCTACATTAAGTAACTAAATTAGAAAAGGACAGGTAGTGCATATTGGGTCAAACTATACTAGAATAAATGCACAGACACATGCAGTGAAAACTGAGTTCCTGCAGGCTGTTTTGTCGACATCTGCTGCATCTGTTCAGCTCTGAGTCTGTGGAAGCTCTGATGAATATTCACTACAGATATATACAGATAAATATCATCTTAAAAACAATATATAAATATGTAAATGAAACACAGAGTCTTTCGGAATGGCTAGCGTACAGCCATAACTTATATTTGGCATGGCTACATTTTGAAGAAAAAGGGATGTGAGGGAAACCAGAAACAACATATGCTCTTTCTTCCTCTCTAATTGTCTCAGAAAGAGAAGTCGCAGAGTAGAGAGCCCAGGTGAAAGAGATGGTTACCTCATTCTGGCCACTCACAAATGATTCACAAGTTATGTCCTCATTGTATTCCATGCATGCAATATAAGTCAACTTCAAACAATATGATAGAAAAACACAAGAACAAGGGATGCAAAAAAACTTCTTCCTCAAAAACCGAGAAGGAGAGGGGACAGATGAGAGGGGGAGGGGATGCAAACAGGAAGTTGAGAAAGCGTGAAGACTGATTCTGGCTTTGTTCTGCTCCTCTCTGATATGTTTTGTATTTGGGTTTCAAGTAAAGGTATGTTGAGCTGTCAGCCATCTGGAGGGGTTGCGGTCTCATTCACGCCAAAACAAACTCATGGGAAGCATTTGCAGAGAGAGCATCTTCAATTGATGTGGCCGGTTTGTGTACACATTCAGGGAACAGTTTCAGGCACACTGGATTTCTTATTAGGGATGAGATGAACATGTCCCCCAATTCCTAATGACGACAATGAGGAAAAGGTGGCCCTCTATCATTATTGCTCCAAAACAACATCCAATCGGATTTATGAATGACCAGAGAGGTACACATCATCTTAACCAGTCAGCAAATGCAATCTGGAACTGAGTAGCACATACAGGTACATCTCAAAAAATTTGAATATCATGAAAAAGGTCAATATTTTTTGTCACTCATTTCAGAAAGTGAAACCCATATATTATATAGATTCATTACACATAGAGTGAAATATTTCAAGCCTTTATTTCTTGAAATTTTGATGATTATGGCTTACAGATAATGAAAACCCAAAATTCAGTGTCTCAGAAAATTAGAAATGTGTAATGAATCTATATAATATATGGGTTTCACTTTCTGAAATGAGTGACAAAAAATATTGACCTTTTTCATGATATTCTAATTTTTTGAGATGTACCTGTATAAAACAATTTAATGTCCTACAAACCCTCTGAGATGAGTATATGCTTACATATAAACGTATATGTTAACTCTAAAGTGCATGAGTGTCTTCCTGCACCGTGAAGCATGCAGAAAAGATGTTGCAAATAACATAAAACAGGCCTGATGTATTAATCGAGAAGAGAGAGGGAATTCAGTGCACCACTAAGGAAAGCGACATGGCTACTACAGCTGCACACATCTGTCACACCTTCAAGATACTTGGACCAGCTGCTAACATATGAAGTAAAACTACACGGTCAGCAGACAATGCTGGCTCTTGTGGTGATGGAGCTGCATCTGTGTCATTTTCCCTCCCTGGACACACAGCACTGGTAAACAGACACCAGCCAGCTGGCCTGAGCACATGGCATGTGTGTGTGTGAGCTGCTAAGGTCTTGCTTAGGTGTTGCATAGGTAGTTACTAAAGTAAGCTTACATCTGACTCTGAACGAAGAGCGCTGACAGAACACAGTCTTGGTGTTTCAAGACAGCAAATGACACTTTAAATCAACGTAAACAACACCTAACCAGACTAACCAACTTTTGTAAAGTAACCAATGCTTGGTATGTTGTTGAAGAAGACACTAAAAGTTTTAAACAGTCAAAACAGTTACTCACACGTGTAATCTATGATTTAAAAGTGACACTGGTGGAATCATGGCCTCCTCTCACACAGGATAATGCTAATACTGATGCAAATATCAGAAATCTGCTGCTAAGTTAATAAGGAAGTCCATTTTGGTATGGCATGGCTGGTTTTAGTGGGTGCTCAGCATATGCAAATCTCGAAACTTTCAAAATAAAACAAATATTAAATGATTGTAACAAAATCTTGTCAAAACCTTGCAATGCTCTGTACCACCAGAAAATGAACTACAGAATAAAATGTCAACATTTTAAACAAACTCAACACAACTTAAGAACTACAAAACCATGTTCAGGTTTCTGAATCAGCACGGTCTCCTGAGCACCTTTGAGCTCATATGGTGGCGCTACTCTCACATTATGGCTTCCTGATTGAATAATAGTGCTTTGTAAGTGCTCAGGGTCTCGTGACACAGCAATTCACACAACGCTAATATTCATTAGACTGATATTAAGTGGATGCAGGCTCACTTTCGATGGATAAAGCTTTGAGTTACCCATGGAATGTGGATGAAATAAAAAGAACAAGCATCGCAAATCAAGCCAAAACTTTCCATCAGGATTCAACTTAAAAAGAAAACTTCACCCACAGCCTTAAAATCCCCTTCCACCTTGCTCTTCAGACCCATAACCGTCAAAAGAAAAGAGCCCTGTAGGTGTCGGAGGTCTCCAGAGGAGCTGTCGTGCCACTGCTGGAGGCTGCCATGACTGAGGGAGACTGCGAAGGGCAGAGCAGAGAGCCAGGAAAGTTCAAGTAAAGGGTGAAACAGTGGACAAAGAGAAGGGAAGGAATGTCACTTGAAGCCATTGAGGGAGCAGTAGTAGTTGAAGGAGTTTGTCTCATCACTCAGCTACAGGGTTTGTTAATCTTTTACCCAACAAAACTGAGTGAATCTTGCAATCCTATATATTTTTACATTATTCTTTTTTTTTTTATTCAAAAACAAAATATAGAGCCTCTCTTTTTTTTTATATATATATTCTTTTTTTTCTAAATTTAGAAGCATTTAGCATAAACTTTTATTGTTTCCATTTGATTTCGGCATTTAGGGATTTCAAGCCCTCTAATTTGGGGTTCAGGGCTTGCAGAAGTCATGCAGTTTATTCATGCTGGTAAACAAAGTGAGAAAAATGCATTTTTTAATTTTCTCTTTTTTTTCAGCTTTTGTTCAAAGTTCACCCAGTCCACTTAAACACCCCTCTGTCCTTCAACAGGTATCATGCACTTATGTTGTATTTTCTGTTCCCCACATGAAGGTGAAGAAAGTGACCCCATCCACTGATCCAGAGTCACCCATATTGTACTGTGCAAACAGAGCGGTCCTGTCTACGGTTTCCTCTGGTTCCTCTCAGCATGATCTCTATCTTTCTCTCTGTTTTGTTTTTCGTTTTTTTTTTTTCGTTTTTTTTTTCATTCATGCCATGCAGTTCATCTACAGTGGAACAGAAATGCTGAGATGCAGAGAGCTGAACTAAGAGAGAGAGAAAAGAGAGAGGCTAATGCTCTTTTCTTCATAGTGGACAAAGTCACCTTTCTGTGAGCCCTGAGAAGGACACTCTGAACAAGATTTCCAATTGGATGAATGGGGAAACAGTACGATATAGGAATATGGCAGGCCGATGGCGCCGCTGTCTATTTTCATTTAAAGCACGTGCAAGATCTCCAAAAGGTAAAGGAGCGGAAAAGGTTTGGCTGATAAACTGTTCGATTGAAGCGTTTGATGAAATTGACTGTCAACGTGTGTTTGAATTGCATAGCGTTGAAGGGCATGATGGGTGTTTTCCCACACATTATGTGTATCTGAGACTGGATCGAGGGTTTTTTGTCCACTTTCAGGTGCAATTATCATGGTGGAGCACCCCACAAAAATAGTTCCCATCACTTTAAAATTGCATCCATTTCCATCAGGTCGAGCCAGGACATACTACAGTTTGTATGCTGAATCCCACCCGTATTCCAAGGCCAGCGATCCCTGTGTTCCACATCCTCCCAGGACGTGATATTGTCAGTTTATTGCACCTACGTTGGGGGTTAAAATTAGTAATGGAGAGATGAGCGTTACAATGTTTTCTTCAAGTTGGTTTAGTGAAGCACTCCTTTCATCTCTCGTTTTCTCTCTTTCGCCATCTCTAATCCTGCGGTGACCCTGGGGGTTGCCTCTGGACAGGTTTTGCGGTTGGGAAGCTTTAGAAAAGGGGCAGTTCAGAAGCTCAGCACTGTAGGGAAGAAAAGAGAAAGACAGAAAGAGAGGGGAATAGGAAAACGGAGGACAGAAAAATCAGTATCGCGCCACACGTCGCGTCACCTTAATACAAACGCATTAAAAGCTATAGGCTACACACTGCTAGAGGCTTTCGCAGATGCCAGCCGTTTCAGACCGTGCAACTGCGAAAGCCAAAGCTACAGAAGCTGAAATTTTTCCTTTTTGTTTGTTTTGGAATGATGTCCATGGAACATTATTTTCATGAAGTCTCCTAAATACCAATGTAAAAAAGAAATGAACCAAAAACCCAAGTGTACTCATAGCAAAGCCCATCGTAACATGCGCTCAAAAACAAAACACACAAATGCAAGACTCTAGGAATCACACTCACAAAAAACAAACACACACGAAGCTGAATAAAAGTTCCAGTCGTTGAGGGCCACAAAATCTTATTCTAAACCTACGTCAATAAAATCAACAGAATCAATTAACAATGATTGATTTTGTCAGCCCTCTAGGATGGACCAGAACAAAGCAAAAGCTCATTGTACATCAGTTAATCCTCTTCACACAAAGGGTGCGTCCCAAGACGACTCGCTATTCCCCATGAAGTGCCCTTATTTTGATATTTTACCAAACAGTGAAGCTGGCATAGGGAATAGAGAGCGAGTGCACCATTTCAGCACAGCGCCAAACATTGGAAGAGCGGGAATACAAAGTGTCACACAAAGAAAATCAAAACACTAAGCACACAGTCAGGCACATCACATGAAAACACGCAGTGTGACGCACAGAACACCATACGCACATTCTTACACTGAGAAGCGTTCAGCTCCCTTCCTCCTCTCTTTGCTTTTTTTCTTTCTTCCCCAAACTGTCCTCCATTTCACGATGCCTTTCTTCATTTGTTGACAATCCTCCCAAAACTCTGTTCCCCAAACACACAATCTGTCCATCTGACCCTCATGCTTTCATCTCCTGAATTTGGTTGCGTCCTGATTCCACATACAGGTTTTTTTTGTAATCCACTTATGGCAGACCGTCATTGAAAAGTTCTCTTTTTTTTAAACAAATCACTCATTATTTTCCCTCAGTTTCTCATAATGTCATCCGGGCTTTTTTGGTTGTTATTTGGAAGCAGTAAGAGTTGGGAATAAATGAAAGTGACGGATGAAATGACGAAATGAAGGGCGAGAAGGACACTGTGGAAAAGGAAAACTTGGAATGAATGTTGGGATCAAACATGATTATTTCATATTTACACAAGTGCATGCGTACACGGGGTGTTCTCATCTGCCTCTCTCTTTGTTTCGAATGACATCATTTTGGAAGCACTGGTATAGACAAACAAAAAGAGATTTACCTGAGTAGTGACAGGGCAGTGTAAGTCAGAAACAGAGAGGATTCTGGATAATGTCGCTAAATCGTTTGAACTCGACCTGCTCTCCATTTGAATCATAAGGATTTCAGTTTCTGTGCTGTTAACTCCACATGCAGAGAATTATTTCCACTGTCCTGCGTGATCACATGCAGCCTCTGCTTTTACCAGGGCATTCGCTAACTAAGCTAACTAGTGGCAGGCCTGTCTCTTCCACATCGTAACCTCAGAACTGAAATAAAGGGATAAAAGTGGAGCCATCCCATCCACTCTGTTCACCCTGACTACACCTTAACAGATAGATTACACACAGCAAAACCACAAAATGCACTAGGGATGCTAAGTGCTAGCTATCTTGAATGTGTGGAAACATGCATTGCTGCAGTGAGCAGACTTCTTAGCATTAGCTTCTTTCTCTCTGCTCTGATCAGTGTTTAGTGAACAGGAAAACACTCCTTCTGGTCTGACTCTGTTCAAATAAATGCCTAAAGAATCTTTTTTTTTTAATATTAAATATAACAGGTAAACATTAAGGGCTAAAATCTGTATTCTTAGCCTCTAAAGTGACACAGGAGTGCTAATGATCTACAACAGCGAATGCTACGTCATCCCCCGTAAAACCAGCAGAGGGGGCTAGAGCTGAGGTTCACACAACAGCAAGGGGGAGAAAAACAACTAATCTGCTCTTTAATAATGCAAAACTAAGATGATTAAACAAGATTGATGACGCCATGAGATGAGAATACAAACTAAAATGCACTTGTACGGGAGCTGATACTGGTTCGGGGGCTCAGGTGTGCGTTTGGGAATGTATTTGTGAAGGAAGAAGTGGATTTTCTGTTCTAGTCTTAGTTCACAGTTACTGCTTCTTTTTGCATATATCTGATAAGCACTGGGCTTTCAGAATAGTTCTCTGTGAAAAGATGAAAAAGAATAAATCATAAAATGACAATCTGCAATGCTTTTGATGTCTAACAAAGAAAAGAAAACTTAAACAGGTACATAGTTAAAGCACATTCAAAACCCCACATTCAATACAACAGTTGTAAGGGTCTCTGCCACCCAATAGCATCTTAGCATGCAAAACTAAGCCCCGCCCCCCACAGCAATCAAGTCAAAAATGACAGATTGGTAACAAAACATCAATGGAAAAAAGTTTGTACGTTTGTTTCATGCAAATCATTAATATGCATGTGCATATGAATATACACATCCATATGTACACACTCGTATCAACAAACAAGTACATAAACCTCTGTTAAAATACATTTTCTTATCAAATCACATAGACTTATAATTTCCTTATTGCTCGCAAAAAAAAATCCATGCATGTGGAAATTACAAAGTCAACCTTCAAAACTGTACAAATCATTAATACCTGAACTATACACCCTCATAAAGAGCATTAAAAAACACAGAAAGGAAATGAAAAGAGAGATGAAGAGGAGGAAGAGGACATTGCGGAGACACAAGGTGAGAAATAAAGCAGTGTTTTGGCTGGACTTGAATCATACCGGCATTTTAGTCTTCCTCTTTCTCTCCCTCTAAATGTACCAGGTAATTTGTCTGAATTTAAGATTATAAATAATGCACACTTGCATTTGTTTCTTTTACAAGGTACCTTGTTACATACATTTTTAATATACACCTATTAAAGGAATTAAAAATCTACATTATATAATTTGCGTCACCGCCATGCAAAGACAAAACACTGTAAATGCATATTTACAAAATGAGCAAAATCAGCTCTCCTAAGACTATTATCTGTTGTGTGTTGGATGGGTTTGACTCAACTATGCTCAGATTCAAGGAAAATCCTGTGGTGTAGTTACTGTGTTTCGTCTTTAAATGGCTAAATAACCAAAATAAAAAAAAATAAAAATCACTCATAACACTGATCTGAGAATCTCCCTAAAACACTTAAAGGTGACTGAACACTCCAGTTACACAAAGCACACATGTAGCGTAGCATATATCCACCAGATGGCCCTCGCTCACTGTCCTGAGGCCTTCGATGTATATGAAGCATGTACATAAAGCAGTGCAGCGCACATGCAGCCGACCGATGATTGGTGTCACAGTGTCACACATTAGTTTGCTGCTGGCATGCAGATGCTCCATGTAATCAACAACCTCTGTGACTTTCTTCACTCTAGCAGTGAACTTCTTTAAACAGAAAAGAAGAGAGGAGGGAAAGAGGAGTGTAACAAGTAATGTGGCAATAGCAAAAACATGAAAATAAAAAACCTAAATGCAAATAAATAAATAAATAGTAAAATAAATATATTGCTTAATTCAGAAGAATGATTACAGATGAATTGCAGTAAATTAACAAATGATTAAATATTAAATGTGTATGTAAAATATTTCAGTTGCAAGACAATAAATAATGTTACTTTGCTTTCTGATAAAGTTTTGTCATTTATACCCCAGGTTTTCTGTTGTTTCACATGGAGAAAAAGACAAGAAGCTTTGTGAGCTGCCATTGCAGAGATATCTTCAGCAGAGGTGTGTATTGCATCTGTGCACTCAAATATGCAGCAGATCGACACAAATCCCCCACAGTGAAACATATGGCTCATATATCTGCATTTCAGAGAGTTCATTTTGTCATCTTTTCTTTTTCTTCTCTTACTGACCGCTGTCAATCCAGCATCCATTCAATGTTCCCTCCTTTATATTGGAATGAAGGCCAGCATCCAAGAGACAGAGCAGGTAAAAAAAAAATGTTTTTAAAAGAAACACAGAAAGAAAAGAAGGGGACCAAAGAGAAAACAAACTGAACTGATATTCTACTGCATTCAAATTAGAGGAATAACAGTAATGAGAAAATGATTATGATGAGGGATGGTAATGCCAGTGATGAAGAGGATGAAAACGTCCAGCTAATTCTTGCCCTTAAGTAAGGAAACTTTGAGGCCACTGTCTGGTTCACCACAGCCCCAGGATATGCGGATATGCAGTGAGGAGTGAAGTTCAGCTTGATATGTCTTAATATTAATGAGGAAATACCATAATAAGGAAAATATATATTTTAAAGACAGTTCCTTCATGCACTAGTATAGGAGTGTAACAAGTAATGTGGCAATAGCACAAAGACATAAAAATAAAAAAACCTTAATGTAAATAAATAAATTCTAAAATTAAAAAATATGTTGCTTAATCTAGAAGAATGATTACAGATGATTTGAAGTAAATTAATAAATGATTAAATATGGGTATGTAAAATATTTCAGTTGCAAGACAATAAAATCATCTAAATATATAATGCTACTTTGCTTTCTGATCAAGTTTTGTCATTTATACCCCAGGTTGTCTGTTGTTTCACATGGAGAAAAAGACAACAAGAAGCTTTGCGAGTTACCATTGCAGAGAGATCTTCACCAGAGGTGTGTATTGCACTGAAATATGCAGCAGATCGACACAATCCCCTCCTTTATATTGGAATGAAGGCCAGCATCCAAGAGACAGAGCAGGTAAAAAAAAAATGTTTTTAAAAGAAACACAGAAAGAAAAGAAGGGGACCAAAGAGAAAACAAACTGAACTGATTTTCTACTGCATTCAAATTAGAGGAATAACAGTAATCAGAAAATGATTATGATGAGGGATGGTAATGCCAGTGATGAAGAGGATGAAAACGTCCAGCTAATTCTTGCCCTTAAGTAAGGAAACTTTGAGGCCACTGTCTGGTTCACCACAGCCCCAGGATATGCGGATATGCAGTGAGGAGTGAAGTTCAGCTTGATATGTCTTAATATTAATGAGGAAATACCATAATAAGGAAAATATATATTTTAAAGACAGTTCCTTCATGCACTAGTATACAAATTAAAAAGGGTCACGAAAAAGTGCAGAAGGTTATAGGCCCTTAATAGCAATGGCTCCTCCTTATTATTATTATAATTTTTTTTTTCCGCCATTTGTCCAGACCACTGCTCTTTTCATTTCGTGGTACTTGGTGTTGAATATGCAGAGAGTCAAAATACAAAAACCAAAACGTTAATTGTAGATCTCCATGCAACAGCACGATATCCTGTCCTCCCAAAATGTCAACTCAAAGCCGCCCGCGCGCAACTCCAAACCCCGATCCGAATCGCAGTGTCCAAGTGCTTAGTATAAAAATAGCCTCTTTTCAAATAATGATCAGCTCTCGGTCTCTCTGTTAGTTGTTAAAGTTAATAGTTGCACATAGTAAAGTTCGCAGGATTCATCTCCAGCTTCTCAGGGTCAGAGGTCATCATAATAGTCGATATTGCAGAAGAACAGTTTAAGCATTTTTTCATTGTCCTAAATAAAGAGCATAATTATAATAACAGTGTGAATTATACGTTAAAATATCGAGTGACAACCAAAGTTTCTGTAGGAAATGCTCAGAGTGTGATTAAAGATGGTCCTTGAGTTTATCGTAATCATAACACTCATCATGTTCTATTGCCTGAATCACCAACAACTCCTTCATCACAGTCAAATCAGCCAAAACGATCCATTAATTCTCTACCACAGGGCTTAATTACAAGTTCAAATCAGCATATGGTGCGTTTATTTTCATATCCTCGTAGCAGTTAAAGGGGATTGGGAGTTTAGTTATATTCTACTTGCCTAACTGACGTCTTTTCTAGCATGCACTTGAACTACTTGCATGTTGACCTATGACCTTTATCATTCCAAGCTTTGATATGAAGTGGATTTTCAAGGCCTATTATGGTGTACCAAAGCTGATCGCAGCGACTAGTACTCAATGAATAAGCCTGCTGGATATCAGTCTCGTTTTTATACAACCAGCAATCAATCAGGCGGGAACATGAGGAAAAACCAACTACTGTCATTCAGCTACAGGGGTACATTTCCTACAGGGAGCTCGTCGCTGTCTATGGACCAGTGAGGAGTTTTATCCTAGTAATATTCAGTGCTTCTTTTTTTTTTTATTATTATTTATCTTCGATAATAAGGCATAATCTGCTGACGTCACAGCATATAATTGTTTTTAGTTGCCTGTCTGAAGTATTGCCTGAAGTATATGCGATAAAGTCATTTTAGTACTTAAAGCTCTAAATCCCTAAACAAATTCATCCCATTCCCTTTGAGGCATGACATATTAAAAGAGTGCTGGGTACCCCCACCCTGTCCAGTCAATGGAGGAGCGGAGGTGTGAGTACTTAGCATCGTTATTGTGATAATTAATACTATTGCGGCATGATGGTGCATGAGTGTCTTTTTTCCGCTTATTTCAATGTTGTTTCCTAAGATGTGCTACAGAATGGAGGGTATGGGGGATCGGCAGCGGCGCAGGGGGCCGGGGGTATCGTAAGGCTCGTAGGGTGGGTTGTTGATGGGGGTGATGGGGGTCAGGCGCTGAGGGGCCCCTGTCATCCCCGAGATGTTATTGAGGCTGCGGGACTTCTCGTAGCCAGCAGCTACAAAACCCAAAAATCCGGTGGATGGTCAGCGGATAGGTTACATACATTAGAGAAAGATGAATGAATGGAATTATTATGGAAGCATTTTACAAACAAAAACATTGGATTCATGACAAAAGTGGTATTTTTTTAAAGGGGAAAGGAAGGGAAGGGTAAAAAAAACAGAATTTAAAGCAAAGAATGACAAAATGAAACGGATGTAAATGACACCGAAGCAGACAGACAGAAAGACAGACAGGGACAGACAGAGGCAGAGACAAGGACAAAACAGGAAAATGAGAGTTATGAATTGTCATCAAGTTTTCTTGTCAATTTGTTGTTGTTGTTGTTATGGCACAGCAGTATTAAAAAAAACTCCCTTTAGTCGCAGCCACATACAGTTTTCAGGGAGAGATAAGAGCAGATGTGTAAAAGAGCAGGTGGATGAAGCACCTGATGGCTGACTCAGACCAGTAGTGAGGTAAAGAGTTTAGCATCCAGGTGTTTGACCCAGTCTCAGACGGAACACTCTGCGTTCTGATACTAGCACTGGAGTCCAACAGAGGAGCTCCGTCTAGTCAAAGCAGCCTCACTCAGCACTGTGGGCCAGGTGAAGCTCGTGCATTTCAGACTAGATGTCTTTCCATTATTAGCAGCAAATTTGTCTTCCTTTTACACATAAGTGTGTTTCAGTAGATTAATATGGACTTAAAACAGCTTCACGTGACCCCAAAGTGCCTGAAAGCTTTCCTTCCACATCCATTTCTGGCTTTGTTTTGTAAGGGTGGCCAAACTTTCTTAAAGGCTTCGGTTTGTCTTCTTTTCTCACCCACTAAGTCCAGTGTTGTTTAATTTGGTTACAAATTCCCTTTACAGGTCTTAGTGATCTTCGTGGACTATAATAATAATTTGGGTCAAATTTCAAATGACTTCAGGGGGAGTTTGCTAAAAATGGTTTGCATTTATTTGTGTGTTTTCGTTCTTAATTCACTAAAGAGATAATGCTGAATATGCTCACAAAAATATGTGTTAAACGTAATTTCATGACATGAATCTGAATATTAGCTTGTGGATGATGCAGTATGCAAATTACCATGATCTGTCATTCTTTACTGTAACATGTTGTTCCACCACTGTGATCCAGGTACTTAAATCCCGAAAGTTTAGTAAATGTCATTCCAAACCTGCGTCAATTTAATTTTTCTGTGGAACACAATATAAGACATTTTGAAAAATGTCTGTGTTTTTGTCTCTATGATGAAAGTCACAGGAGACCAGTGTTTTTTGGACCCCATTGACTTTCACTGTATAGGCAAAAACATATTCAAAATACCTTCTTTTATGCTCCACAGAGAAAATAAAGTCATTCAGGTCTGAAACGACAAGGAGAATAAATCATGACCGAATTTCCAAAGTTTGGGGTGAAATAAAAACTTTTTTGTTTTGACAATTTTTTTCAAATAGCTGTACTTAATGATATGAATTTTGGTTATAATAACAGCTAAACAAAGCTTACCTTTGTATAGTCTGTTTGTTTGTTTAAGAAGGGGAACTGGACTCAGATATTGCTGTTTTTTGGAAAAAGCCAACACGAATGGATATGGAAGGAAGAGCTGGCACATTACATAGTAGACAACTATGGGATTACATCTCTGCCACAATTCTGCGCGCAAAAGATCATATTTTGAGCACGCAAAAGTGCGTTTTGTGCACGCGCGAACTGAGTTTTGTGGAGAAAATGTTTGTCTCGCAAAGAAGAAAGTATTTAGAGCGCACGAAAATCAATTTTGCATTTAAAATAAGTTTTTGGATGTGTGCAGACTTTCTCTTTTGCACGTGCAACGTTTCACTAGCTTGCTCACCTGATGCCCGCCCTCAGTGCTCTCTAAATGCCAACGGCTCACTTGCTCAACACAACCCATCATTACAATATGCCATAATTCCAGCCAATCAGAGACGAGGCTGCTAAATTCTGATTGGCTGCCTTGACAACCAATCACAACATTCCTTGCATTACCTCGACAGCAGAAGAGGAAAAATACAGTGCATGCATAATTATTATGCAAGTTGATATTCTGATCTTCTGGAGACTCCAGGTAGGTTGCAGTTTTGCACGCGCAAAAGAGAAGGTCTGCACACATCCAAAAACTTATTTTAAATGCAAAATTGATTGTTGTGCGCTCTAAATACTTTTTTCTTTGCGAAACAAACATTTTCTCCACAAAACTCAGATCGCGCGCGTGCGAAATGCACTTTTGTGCGCTCAAAATATGATCTTTCGCACGCAGAATTGTGGCAGAGATCTAAGCCTATAGACAACCCCCTCCTGACACAGGAGAACTTCCCACACGGACACAAACACAGTGAGTTAGAAGTCTTAACAAAACAAGAGACAAAAGCTCACAAGGAAGGAAAAACACGGGGTGTTAAGAAGGTCCTACTGTCATATATTCGGCAATCCTTTCTCCAGTCCCTTGCGTGATGCAGTTCTGTTAGGAAGTGTGTGTGTGTGTGTGTGTGTGTGTGTGTGTGTGTGAGAGAGTCTGACTCAGAGGGCTGCTGGGACACTGGGTGCTGCACAGCCACTTGTCATTCAAAATCTACACCAAAGCATCGCCTATAGGAGCTGCAAAGGAAGGCAGTGGTAGATAGATCTGGGTCATCATGTTCCTCACACCAGACCACTTGTGCAAACCAGAAAGTGACTTTTTGTTTTCCACCATGGATTTGAGGAAATATACATATTTAACCAAATTATTTGTTGTTTATAACTAATAAAACACATAAGAGTACTCATTTACAGAGAGAAAATAACTAATGTGTGCGTGAACGTCATGTTCTGTACTTGCACCCGTGATGCAGACACTGTACAGATAAGAACACACTTCCTTCCTATTGCTGGACTTGTCTTTACCTCCCTATTAGCATTTGCTTTCTCTGAATGGGATTAATTAGGATCAATATGGCTAGGCAGTATGTGTCCAACAGAAATAAGTACACCTTTGGCACTTGCGATCTTTCTTCCTCTTTTTCTCTGAACAATTACAATGTAAATGTGACGATTAAAAAAGCATTAGTAGCCAATTCTTTACCTAAATAGCTGCTTTATGACAATGCCTACATGAAAATGATTGTGTTTTGGACACAACTATGCTTTTGGATTGCAGTTCAAAGATACGTAGCACAACAGATATAGATACCTAGAATGCCAGTAAAACAAAACAAAACAAAATAGAGCAAAGCAAAGCAAAACAAAACAAGAAAAAAAAAAAAGCAAAAAACAGACAAAGTAAAACAGATAAGAGGGAGAGGACAGGGGAAGAAAAAGAAACTTGTACAACAACCGCTATCAAAACTATTTAAGCTATATTTATAGATATATTTAAGAATTGAGCTTTCAGACAAAACAAAATAGAGCAAAGCAAAGCAAAACAAAACAAGAAAAAAAAAAGCAAAAAACAGACAAAGTAAAACAGATAAGAGGGAGAGGACGGGAAGAAAAAGAAACTTGTACAACAACCGCTATCAAAACTATTTAAGCTATATTTATAGATATATTTAAGAATTGAGCTTTCATGTTCATGGAAGAGAAGTCTAATAATATTATAGAGAAGGTATTATAGAGAAGAAAAGTCTAATAATACCTACATTTAGCAATTTTCTATATTTACTAACAGTACAATGATGCCAGCATAATCAATGACCTGTCGATTAATCTCATCATCGGCATCATAATAACACAACTCACACTCACCAGCCTCACACATGCAACACTGAAGAGCTTTGGTGAGAGGTTATGTATGAAGAATTACAGCAGTGTTGTGGACTGGTGTAATTCAAGTCTTTAGCTTGACAGACTCTGTGCTTCTGCGATATTAGCATCTGTGATAGAGATGTGGCTACATTCAGTAGGGTGGGATGGAAGGCGAGTGTCAGTATGTGGCACAAATAAATAAAGTTTAATATACTGTGTTGAACAATTTACAAAAATGTTGGTCTGTTTGCAGTAACCAGCATGTTAAAGAAAGTCCATCTTTTTCAGTTGCATCACAAAGGTCAAGTGTGGAAAATCTGAGTTTTCGGAGAAGACGTCAATGGTTTTTACTAGTGGGAAATTAATATTTAATGTAATTACATTATGATGTGAATTACAGCATTATATTCTATAATGCAGCTAAGTTTCAATAGTGTGTCTGAGTTCATACACAGTATATTTGATCTGTGAATCTGTCCGGGTTAATATTTGCAATATCCACCAGAGGATATTTGTTCTTCCTTTAAACACAAACACTGGTAGTCACATACATACAAGTTACATCACATCTGCATGTATGATTTAGACACAGAATAACACATAGACACAGCACAACACGACACAACAGTACACAGAACACGAAACGACAGTACACAAACATTGCACAAAAAATTATCACTAAGAGACTAATTAAAGGAGGGCAGGAATATGTGATGGATGTAATGACTGCGGTGAGAAGAGAGGGAATAGTTTACATTCAGAAATTAGCACCTGCATATACAGTACAAGGATGGACAGAAATATAAACTTATGACATTTAACATGGTGCAAAATAAACAATTAATTCCAATGTGCACATAGAGAAGTTCCCAGTAAGGGTGTTGTACATGTCACTGTTGATTGCAAAACAGTAGGTGGAATTACATTAATAATAAATAATAAACTATTTCATAAAAAAGTGAAAAGAAAAAAGTAGTTTATGCAGCTAGAAACAACAGAAAGAAATATAAGTGTACAGATGTTGACATTTCATCTAAGACAGTAGAGGACAGAGTGAAACAACAAACGTTGAAATAATATTCACAGAAGATTCAGATCATGTATGATTATAGTGTCATACATGCAGTTCACCGCCACTGATGGTGGACAAGACACGCTCATTCATACACAACACATCCAGTTTGATTTGAAAGACAATAAAAACGTGGTTTCTTAAATATATACTTCAACCATTCACTAACCTTGGATAAAAACCTTGCACTGA